TTTTGTAGAACATGATATAAATTTACGTATTAATTCAAAAACTGGAAAAGTTGGAAATCGAACAATATCTTTTGAAACAATAATGAAAGTAATTACCTTTATAGAAATTTTGACAAACAAAATGGTTTACCATCTCCAGGTAATTTTTAAATTATTTTATTTATAATTATTTTGTTTATTTATAATAATTTTATTTTATTAATACTATAATTAATTTAAAATCTATTATTTTATTTATAATAAATTTAAATTTTATAGGACGAAGTTTTCGTGATAATGCTATTGCTATTATATATTTACTAGCAGATACTACTTATTTATCTTTACATACTCAATATTTAGAAGCAATTAATACTAATGACCAATTTGAAATTAGTTTAATGACATTTATTAGAATTTGGAAAAAATTTTTACCATGTATTAAAAAATTAACTCCACGTAGTGATTTATGTTTAAAATATAAAGATATAAGATTTAATGCAAATTATTGGTCAATTGAAGAAAAAGAAACTAAAGTTTTAGAATGGCATAAACATATCAAATGGGCACAAGAAGAACGTGAAAATTATAAGTAAGTTTAAATTTATAAAAATTAAATTTGATTAAAATTTTTTATTTAATTATTAATTAAATTTTATAAATTATTTAAATAATTTTAATTTTTAATATTTATTTTATAAAATTATTTTTATTATTAAAAATTTTATTAGAAAATATATTAAAATAGCATATGAAGATATTAAAAAATTTGGAATTAAAAATATAATACATCCTGGAAAACCAAATTCTTTAGATATTACAGTTCATCTTTCTTGGGATTATGCTCAACAAATTCAATTACCACATTTATCTCAACAAGAAGTAAACAATTTTATTAAATTTATAATAATTAATTATAAGTACTAATAATTATTTATTAATTATTTTATTATTAGGGTAAAATTTATTTTAAATCTTTATACAAAGTTCATTTATTTGGAATATGTGATGATGCATTTCTATATCAAGTAAATAATAATATTTTTTTATTATATAATTATATTAATATTAATATATTTTATAATTTTAGGTAAATTATCTTATTAAAAAAAAGTGAATTAGTTGGTAAAGGAGCAGATACTGTTATTTCTTTAATTCATAATTATTTTGAATTACATGGATTAGGAGAAAAAAAATTAAAATTCATGCAGATAATTGTTCTGGACAAAATAAAAATAATGCAATGATTGCATATTTAGCTTGAAGAGTTTTAACAGGATTACATGATAGTATAACTTATTGTTTCATGGTTGCAGGACATACTAAATTTAGTCCAGATAGATTTTTTGGATTGATA